AGGTGCACGGGTGTCAGCAACGTGGGGGGAGGGGCGAGCCAAGAGGGGGAGAGGGGTGCCATTGATCTCGCCAACCTTACCTGTACTCGGCACGCGTATGTAGCGAGCGCCGGTGCCGCGCGGCTGCGCGGCTGGGGACGCTTGTTGGACCAATCAAAATCGTACCAGCGTCCTCGTGTATTCACATTCAAACGCCTTCGCGAGAATCGTATTTTGAATCTATTAAACAGAGAGGGGGGTTCGTATCCCTATATCCCCAACAAGTACCCCCAACCCCATGTATATGTACGAAGTCGCGTTTTTTTGTGGTTTTGTTCTTTTTCTCTGGCGCGACAGCGTTTCTTCTCACACTTCCTTCTGCATGGCACTCAGAGGAACCGTCGGTACATTGCCCGTTGCGTGTGGGGCTCGCTAGGCACCGGTGGTGCGAGTGATGGCCGTCGAAAAGTCGCTGGCACTGGCTCCATTTCAGGGATCGCGATTCCGAACCAAAAAAGCCTCCAAAAAAACGGAAACAATTTTGTTGATGTAGGAGGGCCGTTGTTCTTTGTTACATATCACGCCCACAGCCCCAGCAGTTACTGTACTAGTAGATATCCACACAGGAACACGGTGCAAACAAAAGGAAAAGCAGGGGTGTGTGGTAGAGCATCAATACAGTATTGTAAAACGCGCGGCGCGACTGTCCCACATAGGCACACCGGTGATGCGTACTGTGCACTGTTGTGGTGCACCACAACAGTGCAACAACAGCAGTTCTGAAATATCAGAACAGTAGGTAGTTCCGGTAGGCCGCATTTCGCAGTTCACACGCATCACGTTCACCCGTTGTAGACGCCCACACATCAAGGCGGTGCAAACTCAACACGGTGCAAACACAATATTCAGCAGTAGTGTTGTGGTACAGCAGCATTCGCACAACAGACATAGCTAAACGCCGCTATCGCAGGCAACACAGACAGAGGATGTGCATACAAACGTCCTACAAAAAAAGCGGAACAAATATTGACGGGGTATTTTTCGACGCGGTTTCGAACCTCGGCAACGACATTAATTTTTGTTTTTGTACTTGACCCTACTTACATAGCAGTGTAAAAACGCTGCGGCTCCCTCACGTTTATTACGTAGATCGATTGTGAAGCTATGTATTTTTTTGCATCTACATTTACGAGAAAATTGCCGTAACGTTCTGAGAGTGGACAGAATGTGCGTTGCCCCGAACGTGGTAAATTTTAGTCAATGCCCGATGATCGTATTGTCTGGCCTCCAAAGAAAAAGACGGCACAGCAGTTAAGGTGTTTTTAGGTATTTTCGTCTTGCGTCACATCCCGGAACGGGGAACCTTGTATCCCCTACTAAAACCACGCTGAGTCCTCTCGAAAGCTACTGTCCGTTCACATGCAGAACTTCTCAAACACTGCTGAGCACATTCTTCACTACGTTGACAGCAGCGCTGCGAGGCCAATAACTTTCGGGGTAGGAACCGCCAAACCAGTGACATACTTCTATGTACCGCCGTGGCGCGGGCATGACCGACTCGCTCCAGGATTGACCGACTCGCTCGAGGTCCCATGGCTAGCAGCAGCCTCCTCCAAAGGGGATCCACGATTTTTGATCGAATCGGTGGGATGATTCCACCTCAAGAGGAAGGCGTGCCGACTGCAGGTGAGACAGAGCGCTCTTGAGCGCCCGGCCAATAGGGAAAACCACCACAACATCAACAACAACAACAACATCAACAACAACATCAACAACAACAGCAACAGAAAGAAATACAAGGGTGGCGGGCGTGGGGGGGCATAGCCCCCCACGTCCTCCGTTTATCCGTGAAGAGTGGATACAAAAGGGTACGTGAGAGAGGGCAGCAGTTGTAGGCGTAAAACGCATACCGAGTAGGAGGCTCTTGAGCTCATGTACAGAAGAACAAACAACGACTATAGACGAAGGTTCGAAGTCGGAAAGCGCTGACGTCTTTGGCAAAGCGTTGAACCCGGGCGCCCACATTCACACGATTTCATGAGTACTTGTGCCACAGCCTGTCGGTATGCAGTTAGCTATCCGTAGGGCTCTAGCACAGCAGTAGTACAATAGTACTTCTGAGTAATATGTTTCGCACACACACCGTTTTCCCCAGGAATATGTGTACGAAGAGAGATAATGCCAAACAGCCAGCCAGACACAATACTCCGAAAACTCTGTCGGGGAATTGCGCGGGGCGCATCGGAATTTGCCGTCCGGCCATCGGACAGAATTGGGCGCCATCGGGGAATTGCGGGTCGAAAATTGCCCTCGGGCCATCGCGGAATTGGGCAAACTCGGCAGGACCCCAGCAGCAGTAATTTCGCCGGCAGCACCACAGCAAACTTGAATTGCACGGCATGGCTAAAGCGCTCATGAAACAGCGATTACTACATGCACAAAAGGTACACAGAAATGTTGCAGTCCATAACAACGTTGGTACCACACACCAGACCCCATACCTCCAGTTCCGGTTTGCATGCACAAACCAGAACAACATTGTCAAAAAGGTTGTCCAATGAGTCTCGCCCGAAGAGGTCAGAGGGCAGATGCAGGTGCGAACGCGTCGTTTGCAACGGTTCTTACGGCGAGGGCAGGTCGCCCGACAACCTGCGCCCGGAGCCTCGGGGAGAGATGGGTCCCGCGGGCTCCGCGGAGAGGGAGGTCTAACGACGTCCCCTCGGGCGCTGGCCATGCTCGTGAAGTCATTCGTGTCGATATATCGTGTCGTTTTTAGAGTTGGTATAATTCCGCCGCCGCGCCGTGAGGCGTCGCGCTGAGGCCTCAGGGTCGAAGTTGAGCCAGAGCAAAGTTCCCTACCTGTATATATTCTTAGAAAAAGAAAAAAAACACTACCACCACCAACGACAACGACAGTGGCGACATCCTCTCACTCTTGTCCACCGTGATCCTCTCCTTGGTGCCCCGCAGAAAGGCGTCCTCCACCCTCTCCAGCGACGATAGCACCACCAGGTCGCGGAAGGCGCTCAGCCGATCGGCTCGCACCAGGGCTTCCGGATGGTAGCAAACATCGAACGTTGTCGTGCTACCGCCGGCTTTTCAAGGGTCCGAAGCCAAGGAAAAAAAAAAAAAATCCAGTACAGTACGAGGAGAGAAGGAAATGCGCCGGGGGGGGGGGGG